AAGATAACCAACATACATCGGTATAGTAGGACAAACCCGAATATTCACTATCTAACTCACTTAAGAAAGCAGTGAATTGACGCTGATTTAAACCTCGAGATCTTATAAAATTTATAACTTTTTTATATATGACAAAACATTCTTCATATTTATTATTTCGTGCATAGAACTTCTTGATGTATAATACAATGCATATGATGAATGTTTGAACCGTGAATTTCACTAAGTTTTTTTAGTTAGTAATGCTACGAAGCCCTTGTTTTTCCCGGTCATTGATGGAGCGCCATCTGTAGCTACATAATTTAATTTTGCCAAAGGTAGATTGTATTTCTGCAGAAGTCCAAAAACACAAGTAAATATATCTTCTCCTGTGGTAGTACCAGGCATCGGTATTAGTTCCAGTAATTCCTCAAAAATGTTAAAATTCTTGTCACAAGAACGAAGAAGAAACACTGCTAATTGAGCTTTGCCACTAATGTCCGTGCTCTCGTCACCGGCAATGGAGAAAGGAAAACTTTCGAAACTAGATGATTTGCTTTGATCTGATCACTTAAATTCGCGGCTAAATCAGTAACTCTTTCCGCAACTGTATTTCGAGACAATGAAATTGATTGAAAAGCCTTCACATTTCCAGGACAAACAATTTCTCAGCTTTCATTAGGCATTCCTTGATGAAATCACCGTCAGTAAAAGGCTTCGAATGTTTAGCTATCAACTCGGACAAGACGTAGCTTGCATGTACCACCGCTTCACTTTCTTGCAATACTTTACTAAACATGGACTGTTGCTTTTTCACTCCTAACTTGGAATATTCTATGTTCGTCAGCGATTTTTCGTTTAATTTTACTACCACTTGGTTTTGATATAGACATACTGAATACAAAGGGCTGGAATAAACACGGTTAACGTTAAAAGTTTAACAAAAATTTATTCTTTCCACTAGAGATAAATCAAAATGTTGAAATATTTCTTCAAAAATATTCTAACAATATCACAAAATGTCAAACGTTTAGCAAAAATCAATTCAAAACAGAGAAACTAATTCTATCTCACAGCGAAATCGCTACAAATCAATCACAGCATTAAGTAAACAAACAGTTCGCTAGAACTACAGCTACTACTGAGATGAGTTGTTTGTTCTCGGCTTTTATAAGCTTTATAATTAATTTCTCGAATATACTGGAAACATCTATAAATATCTGGATTTTTGTGGATGGCAACAGCAATTACGAGATATTTATTTATTAGGTATTATTAAATGCACGCGCTGTTCTATTTTTAACCTTCCAACGCAGCTGTCTTTTCAAAAATCGTCTGCGTTGTTAGGGCAACATGAAGCAAATCTAATTACAATTCTAAATAAAAAAAAAAAACTAAATAAATAAATAACTATGAAATCCGTAACAATATAATTAAGTAATAATTAATAATAAAGCAAAGTGCATGCACATGCATGCACCAATATATCGTACAAAACTATGATTAGAAAACTGAGACCATGAGTTCAGGCACATTCGGCTATCGGGGGATGCGTACAAGTTCTGAGTGCACGTGTCCCCCAAAAGCCGAAGGTAGCTGAACGCAAGCTACTCACACGCATTTGTAATTTAAGTAGTGTGTGTGTCAGCTCGCTGTGAGTAATCTAACAACACTGAATAAATTATCGTTAATTACTTAGCAGTAAACATTTCATTTTTTTCTTCGTCGATATGTTATTTTATTATTATTTGCCGATATATTGGCCAGGCCGCAAAAATATTTGTTGTGGGCCGCGAGTTTGACATCCTTGATGTACGTAAAGGATGACGAAAGCATAGGAGCTGAAAAAGGAATACAATGCATACGGTATGGAATTAAACAAAAACAAGCTTTATTGAACGCATAGTATCGTGATTCATGATTGTCTATCCAAGAGGAAGAACAACAAGCAGGTGTTCTTTAATATGGGATATGCCCTCCCCTCACTGCAATGATTGTTTCGCACGGTCTCCACTACACTCAGAACCAGATTGTGCCAACAGATTCTTGCGGTGAGAGTGCCCAATTCCTGAATCAGCATCTGTTTCAGTTGTTGGGTTGTTCTCCGGAGGATGTAATCGTGCTGCTCAATGGCGTCTCTCCAAAGCATCCCATACATGTTCGATGGGAATTTAAATCATGGGGAGTACGCTGGCCAATTCCATTCGACTGATATCTTCACTTTCAGTAGCTCCTGAACAGCAAGGAGTGCCGATGTGGCCGTTGCATTGTCATCCATAAAAACGAAGTCTGAGTCCAATCGCACCTCGGAACAGACGCACATGGAGAAGGAGTCACCTCCTGACAATAGCGATCCCCGGTTACAGACCCTATGTCGAAAACGTGGAGCTCAGTTCGCCCGTTCAGCATAATGCCTCCCCAGACAAGAACTCCAGGACCACCGTTAGGATGTCTTTCCTTGATGTTACTGGGATAAAACCGGGTCCCGATCTCTCTCCAAATCAAACGCGTTGAGAATCGCTTCTGGTACTGAACCGACTCTCATCCGTAAAGAGGACACAACTCCATTGATCAGTTGTCCAGTTTTTGTGCTCTCTGGACCACTGTAAACGGTGGCGTCGGTGGCCAACTTTCAACGGGAGGCAACGTTCAGGACGGCGGGCGAATAGGCCCCCTTTGTGAAGGCGTCGGGCCACAGTAAACCGCGACACTTGTCGCCCCGTTGCTGAGTAGTGGTGCTTGCTTGACTGCTGTCGGCCTCTTTTCGCCTGCAGGACGATATATCGGTCATTCCCTGCAGTTGTCGTCTTCGGGCGGCCACCACCAACCTTTCTAACAGCTGTACCTGTAGTTTGAAACGCTTCCCTAGCGCGCGAAACGACAGTTTTGTTGATTCCGAAATCTGCAGCTACACTGGTGACAGTACGCCCCTCCTCCATCTTTCCGATCATTCTTCCACGTGAGAAGTCGTCCAGGTGATTTCTTCTAGCCATATTTCACGAACTGACTCACTGGCACTTGCAGCGAATATGTCGAATTGCGTTTCCGTCCTGCCTTTTATTCTACTGTTGAGCTGCGCGCGTCGACATCACGCGTTTTGTGTACGCTCACGTCGTCTCTGACGTTTCGTTAATGATATTTGCATACGCATGACGTTTCTACTGACTTACGTGTTCATTGTACTGATCTCAAGATTCCTTTTCTGCAATTTCATGGCTATCTGCTAAATGTTTACATTGTTGCTTAAATTTTGCACACCAGTATATTTTTGTCCCTGAGAGTACGAATGTATGTAAGGGAAAGATCGGAGCTCATCTGAGACCCATTTGAAAAATCATTTAAAATTTTTTGATGAAAGAACAGCAAAAGCGGTTTAATGTTTCAAATGGTTCAGAGGAACGAAACATGTATTCGGAACTCGTTAATCAACTGAGTTTAAGGCTTCAAAACAGTTTTTACTTGACAAGCTTTGTTTGAAGCGTTAAACGAAGGAGATTAATTTTCTTTTATTTGTGTTGCACATTTGCAATTTTAGATAAAATTTTCATGTATGATTACCCGGTAGTTTTATTGATTTTGCATTGTATCCTTCCTGCTTTTTTTTTAAACTAATTCTTAAGCGTTTATATATATGTAAGAAAAATAAATAATATGTAAAAGATTAAATTAGCAGCGAAAATTGATTCCCTTATGTATACTAAAAATAATAACCACTATTTGCACTCTATTTGCCAGAAAAATCTAATTCTGATGATGTTAATGGAACTGAAACCCAAAATTTAACCAATCACTGTACTTTGTGCACCTTGTATAAATAGCTAATAACTGCGTAGACTCTCTCTCTTTCGCCTCTTCGCCTGCTTGCTGACAGCTTGTCGCTCAGCCTCTGCTAGCTATTCGTCATTATTTAAAATGTAATTGCATATCTAAAATTATGGGGCGCGTTTAGCACCCCTAGTCTTCTACAGTTATGTATTAAGAAATTCGTCATTCAAGAATAAATAATGTTTAACTATCAATCTGGTCGTCCTTCTAAAATTTCATTCGATCACCCATTACGCCATAATGTCCAGTCCTCTACGCAGCAGTTTTTCCGGCCATGACTAAACGTGAATTGTTTTTATCTTCCGTCAAAAGAACAATTATTATCAGATGTATATATATATATATATATCCAACCCCTTATCCGGCTTAAAAGTGCTCACCCGGCCTTTATTTTCACAATTGTTGATTTTAGTCATACTATACTTCCAATTACAGAAGTGTTTTAAATGACGAAAATATTCATGTTTTGAGACAGTTAAAAAAAATTAGGTTTTGACAAGTAACAAATTTAACTTTTAATGCGATCTCCCGGTTCCTAGAGTTATATTCGAGAAAGTTTTATACTCTTTTTGAAAAAATAAAGAAGTTTGTCTCTGGAACGACGAAAATTGACCAGGATATTTAATTTCAAAATTTGAAGTTTTTGATGTCATTTTCAATTTGACTGGAGAGATCGGTTAATTAAGTTGGAATAATTCGAGGAAATAGGTTTAAATGAAGTGCAACAGAAGTGTGTACAATTTAATACGCCGTGCAAGGAAGTCACGTGGTATCCACATCAGATTTTTTTATATATATATAATCCAGTTCCACATATAATGCAATGCAATTTTCAAACATTTATTTATATATAGATATGGTTAAAAGCTATATAGCCAAGACCATTCCCCTTCCCCAGTTTTTCAAAACTCATACATCAGTACTTCGCACACCCCGATATATTGGCAGAACCAGGTACCCGCACTATGCGAGGTTATTACTGTATGTGTTTTGAAAAAAGCTGAAAAAAAATTTTTTTTTTTTCCTCCTGTATTTAGTGTTTAAACTAGTGAGACATTTTCTTTTAAAACGAAGAGGGTTTTTGTTGGTTCTCTTAAAAATAATTTTAAACCATTCGTTTCTTTTTTACTGTAGTTCATTGCGTTGTTCTATGTTTTTTGGGTAATATGTTTATTTATTTATTTATTTATTTTCAGTTAGCTGAATTGGAAGAGAAAGTTTGGCTGGCCGAACGGAAAGCGGAAGAGGCGGAAAGAAAGGTAAATTTCTGCATGGAAATTATATACCTTGATTAACTTTTTGAAAATTCGGAATTAAGAAATTAAATGAATTTATTCATTTGTTTCTGCTATGTTTATTCATATCTGTTATATATCTATATCTACATATATGTATATATGTCTTATTTCTGGACTCTTTATTCGTATATTTTTGTTGTTTTGTTGCATGGATTTAGTTATTGTGATCTCTCTGTTTATTTGTTTGCCTGGATAAAAATTTTTAAAGATATTTTTAATCCACTTGTACCGAGCAGATGTTCTCTAAGTTTTCTATGCATACATATTTGCTAATATGTGCAATATTAAAGTTGAGTTTCTGATTCTTATATTAGAAGACAATTTCTAGCACTATAGATATCTGCGAAAAAGGCTTGATGAGCAAAAAACAGATTCAGTTAGCCCAGCAATCTCCCACTATCCTATCCTTGAAGTTTTACGTTGTCAAAAAATCACACTAATGTCGGTATCTATGCAAAGAACTTAACTGGAGTTCTGATTTTTGTTCCCGTTTAACGCCCGGTGTTAAACTGTTGTACGAGTTCCGCCACCCATTTTTAAGTTATCACAACTCCTTGGGTTATGTCTGTTTATTGTTAATCTTGTTCTGTTTACCATCTTCCCTATACTAAATTTAATCGCTCTACTTAACATATAAACAACCAAAAAAAAAACGAGAAGAGCTTCGTTTTATTCTTACTGTTGCGTTATCGGTTGTGACTAAGCATATGAGACCTATCTGTTTAAGGAGAGGTAGCCTTCGTGGTTGACTTTCTAAGAGAATCTGGCTCATATTTATGTTAAACATGGGAAAATCCATTTGTAGGGAATATAAAAGACGGACTTCGGACTCTTGTCGAACGCATTCTGCGTTCAGTGGACTTGGCCTCCAGTGGGCGGCTATTCTAACTTTTTTGTTACGAATGTTTTTCTTTCTCGGGAAATCAAATTATTTCAAATCTGTTGCCGTGAGTAGAGTCTTTATCTCTCACGGCTATGCATAAAGGCTTTTAAAAACTTTCTTTTTAGCAACATAATACATTCTTCTATTAGAAAAAAGCGACGATAATTTTATTGTCATTTCATTTGTTCTTTCTGTAAAGTACAGAATTGCTCGGATTTTTCAACAGTTCAACGTTCTGATTATTTTTCTCGCTTAAGAACAAAATTCGGTGCTCGGTTCTTAAAGATCATGTTTTTTATTTTAATTTCTGGGGAATTAATAACATCCTCAGTGTAGTTTCACGTAAATCAACGGATGCCATTCTGGATGCCTTAAATTAATTCTCAACGTTTTCAATTTTATTTTTTTCCACTTTCTTTATTTAATGTATTTTTATTTTCACTGAAACTTCTTTATTTAATGTATTCTTATTTTGATTTTCGCTGAAATCCTCTTGATCCCTGTTTTTCGACTTGACATTCAAAATTTAATGCGGTCGTGAGAGAGTCTTCTTTCTTACTGTAGTCTGATTGGATTTCTTACTCAAAGCCTGATTAGATTGCTGCGATATTTAAATTCTTCTCTTCATTATGATTTTTTGATGTACGTCATGACATCTGCACCTATGTACTTGCTTAATCACTTTGTAGCGCACTTATTCTAACGTGGAATTCTGGAAAAAAAAAAAAAAAATTGGTGGAACTACGCTGTGCTCACACAAACATTGTGGACTTTTATTGAGTATAGCTAGACAGGAATAGGGCTTATTGCTACGGCATTTTCAACAAATGACCTTCGATCACCTAGAACTTGACAGCTATTTTTGCAGTGATTGATGGCAATCAGTAATGTTCTTGTAAGGAACCTGGGTCTTGAGTGACTTGCTCATATAGTGGAGTCATTCTCAACCCTTACAATTAATCAAATATTAGGTACTGTAGAGAAGGTAAATTTCTGCCCATATTGTTTAAATGCCATAGTTAAAGTAGAATTTTTAAGATGATAACGAATTGTTGTGTTTTGGGAATAGCAGCAAATGCCATAGTTAAAGTAGAATTTTTAAGATAATAACGAATTGTTGTGTTTTCGAAGTAGCAGCGCTGAAGATCGATCGCAAATTTTGCAGTCTTAAATCAGATCTTTGAGTCTAGATGCAAATATTTATGTCGTGAGAAGTTATGTGATGAAGTTAATAGAACTTCAATCTAATCTTCCTAGTAATCATTTTACTAATCTGAATTTTGTAAATGTTAGGCAGGATCGCAGTTTAAACCATTGTGAAGAATTCGATCGAAAGAGTAGATCAAGTTCAATCGGAAGCGTGTAACCAGCTTTTTTTTTTTTTTTTTTTTTTTTCAAATACAAACCTAAAACTATTCCTTTTCTTTGAAAAATAATTGTTGTATGAGAAAAGTAATATGCATGCATAAGAACAAATTATTTTTAGTGTTAACGAATGTAAGTTGCATTTAAACTAAAAATTTAACCAGCCTTTTTTCTGCCTAATAAGTTCCCCCCCCCCCCTGGAGCAGGGAAAGCACATTATGGTGTAAAGAATTATTATTTAGGAATGCCATTCGCGAGGCAGAATTAAATGGATTCTCTTTATTGTTGAGCACAACTTCTTTCATCCCCCCTGTGAACATATTTTTCTGATTTGGAACCCTTTCATGAATCGCAAATCTCTTTCGTAAGGGGGAGGGGAAATATTGCTTTCTAACTCATTTTTAGCTCATCTGTCAAAGGCAGCTGTTGCACGCAGAGTGCGCTTTCATTCTGTTCGTTCCCTATTCATGCTGTGCAAGCGACCGGAGACGCTGTGCAGCACTGACTCGGCTCGCAATACCACATACAGTGGTTATTATAATTCTTTTGGAAGATTTCAAGACTTAAATTATCTCAATGCAGTACTCACTACTTAATTTTTTCTTTTATTATTAAAAAATACTACAAATGCCTGACTTAATAAAAAAAAGGGAACCCGAGCAAAGATGGCAAAGTTTGATGCATGTAGGAGCCACATGTTAGAGTTCAGACATAATCAATAGCCCCGTCTAGATATTGGTAGAACTATAAAATCAATAAAGCAAATACTGAATAGGAAGAAACGTTTCAAGGAAACTGACGAGGACTTCTCATTTTTAAATTAAATGTAAACTTATGCGTTTTGTGCTCTAGCTGTGTATTCAGAAAAGTGTTTCCCTACGATGTACAGATTTTAAAACTTTTCTACGTTTTATTTTACATCCTTTTTGATAGCAAACTAAACATCTTATGATTTTTTTATTTCGCTGTTTCCCCGTATCTAGTGTAAAATAATTTTAATCGGTGTAGAACAAAATCGAGAGAAGTCGTAGTGGTCTTTGTCTCAAAATAAAAACCATTTATAAATAAAGACTGGCACAATAATTTAAAGAACAGTACTAGTGGTTTTTCTTTACTCTTTACTCGATGCGCACTTCTTTAGAAATAATAAAAATAAATTTTAGAACAGCGTACGCTGCGAAGAGATGCAGTCTCTGAAATGAAAGAAGAAATACCATCTGAAAGGTCTGTTTAAATTTACCGTAGAAATACCATCTAAAATCTGTTTGCTTATTAGTTGCTGATTAAGTTAAAAACTCAAGCTGCCTTAAATAGGTTTCAAAGCATATATCATTGCTTACCCTACATTATTTAGATTGAGAGAGGCTATTGTGTTTTATCTATAATTTTCTACATTTAAAGTGATCGGTTTTATGTAATTTATGATTGTACTGCCATTTGCATACTTCACAAAAGAGCTACACTGCAAAGGAAGGTCACAAATTACGCCTGAGTACATTAAATGCATGCTAACGATACCTCAGTTACTACAAAAGGTTTCCTTGATTATGAAGAAACTTTTTGCATATAAAAGAGGAGACATATGTCAAGATGCTATCACATCTGTATAAATACCTCTTATTCTACAACTTGCAAAAATAATGCAAGATTTCAGAAATATTGCAAGTGTCTGAAACAGGCTAAATATGGTATAAATAGTTTTTATAAAATAGCTACATTAAGAATTTGGACTGTATTAGTGTAATAATTAAATCATTAATTAAAAAATAATATAAATAATATACTACTCTATTAGATATATAGTGTAAATGTAAGTATTATGTGATTTCTAATGTATAATTTCTGTATTTATGATACATTAATTTACAAAATAATAATTAAGACTTCAGTGCTGATGCATTTGTGTGTAACAAGTTAAAAAAATGAAAGGAAATGTATAATAAGAGAATTCGCCTTAGTAATTCAACTAAGTATGATAAAAAATGCACACACACACAAAAAAAAAAAAAAAAATTCTTCACTAGCTCCTTAAAATGATGTTTATTTTAATTCGATGTACTGGATATACTAATATAAATATTGTTGGTATGAAGTACAATGTACAATGAAAGTTTGTATGTATGTTCGAAGTAATTATGTTATTTCAGTCTACCATAATCCAACTTGTTAATAGGTTAAATTCTTTGCAATAATTGTATACTATGTCTTTGTAATTGATATTCAATAGTAAGTCTAATATTAATGTAAAAATTACTATGTTAAATGTCTTGGTAGGCTAGCATCCGATGCGGGCCAACTAAAAGCCCAGCGGGGTACAGTAGTGCGGCGGAGCAACACCTGTAAAAGTCACTGACGAAGTTCTGGTGCTCCGTCCTCTTTTTCCTGTCCCTGTCCCTGCCATTTGCATACTTTATTGCATGAGAATATAGATTCAAATTCACGAAATTTTCTCTATTTCATTTTTCTGAATGAATTTCGAACGCATTAATGCAGTTTTTCTTTCCTTTTAAAATCATTTAGCAGTTGTTAACTGCGTTTTCTTACACAGCTGCTTCTGTTACGCTGTAATTTTAATTATATTATGTTGCATTTGGAACAGATTGATTGGGTTGGATTGATTGGGTCTCGTTTCCCTCTTACCTTACTGCCCAACTAACAAACTGAAAGGACTTCATTGAGGGATTTGAGTAGTCGTTACTCCCTCAAAAATGCT